AAGGAAAACATAGTTTGGACCTTTTCTGTGTTTCTATGCATGTATTTTTTATTAAATGTATATTTAAATGTGTTAAAATTGTTTTTAAATAACATCTTTTAGAATATCTTTTCTGTCCTTTCTATTATTATTTGATTTGATTGTGTATTGTGCACGCTCTTATATATACACATCTCACTTTATGTAATAAGCACAGTTAGAATCTGTTATGCTAAGGATAGTTCAACATTTTAGGAAATATGCATATTTGCTTTTTTCCAAGAGCTAGATGAGAAAATTAAAAATGATTTTGATATTTAAGTATGCAGCTAGAGCCAGCAGGTATTCTCTTACTTTAGCATCAAGACCAGAAATAGCTAGTCTGGCTCTGTTAGAAGGTAAATAAATCAGCCTTCCAGCACCTCTAAAACACAGTAAGAGTAAAAACAACAATTTGTGGTTTTACGGGGCATTATGTGCCACTATTTCTTTATTAGGAGCAGTCACTTCCTTCCACAACTTGTCGTTTTTCAACTTTGGTTTTATACGGCTTAAACATACAAGAAATAACATGTTAATGTGTGATCTTTAATGGTGCTGTTAGGCGGATTTGTTACTTTTGGACAAAGCCAGGCTAGCTTTTTCCCTTGGCTTCCATTTTCTAAGCTAAGCTAGCCTTCTGGCTGTAGCTTTATATGTAGTGTACAGAAATGAGAGTGGTAATGATCTTCTCATCTACGTAAGTTACAGTGACTAAGCTTTAATACTACTGTATTTACTGTCTTTTATACACTGCAGCAGTAAATGATAAAATACATTTAGCCTTTTAATGTCTATTGTTTCTAATTTGAATCTTCTCTCTGATCTCTGCATTGCAGGAACGCTGTTTGCCCAGAAGTCAGCTGCTCCTGTGGTGTCACAGAACGTAACTCTGGCAGGAACAAGTGGTTTCAGTGCCCTCTCCTCCTCACACAGTCCCTCCTCTTCATCTTCCACCTCCTCAAAGGGACCAAATTAAGGCTGGCAGTTAAATCTGTTCTGAGCAACACAGTACACAATATACCTCTCTTGTCAGACAAGAACTATATGAATTCTAGGTAAAAATCAATTGCAACATAAGAAGCAATTCATTTGTTTTCCTTTACTTTGACAGTGTAATGTGTTAATTTTTTTTACATCATAAGCTTCCAAACTGACTACAACATAGATTCAGATCACAGTTTACCTTAGTGCCTGTTGGACACTTTTTAAAATGTAAAGAGCTTTACATGGTTGGTTCAGAAGTGTCTTTAGAGCAGAACAGTGCACCATGAGAACCAATGCTAAACCTCTTTTCCCTTGTCACCAGTAGAACAGTGTAGTTGCCAAAATGCAGCTAATGAAGACCAAAAAGCCTTAGCTCAGTATCATAACCTCTGTCTATAATTACCTTACTGACTTTTTTATTTTATCCCTCTCCCACTTGAGTGAAAACGCCACGTTTATACTTTTCACAGCAGCTTTTAGGGATTCGGTTTCCCCAGAAACGTGTCCTAAAGAATCGAACGGAATTTAAAAAAATGTGTCTCAGGTTTGTTGTGTTTTTTACATTTTGTATTGTGTTTTTATTTTACTTTATTTTTATTTAAGCATTTGGTTCGGCATCAAAATTACAAAACTGTTTTAATTCATGTTTGTCGTGAATCAAAGGCAAAATGAAAAGTTTGTGCTGGGAGCTAGACGTAAGTGATAACTGATTTACCTCAATTGACTTCCCATCTCGGGACTCAGGAATGTCCTCTGGACTCATCACTCATATACTCATAATGAATTGCTGTGTTGTATTTGTATAAATGCAGAGAATGTATCATTAATGACCTCAAGCTTTTGACAAGTGAACACTGAAACAGTGCTACCTCACTCTTCTAGAGAAATATGCAATACTTAATGCAGCATGTGTTGATTTAGGCATCTGCTGAAATATACTGTATGTGGACAATCAAGTAGACATGTAATTGCAAACAAATGTCACTGTGAACTTGACAACTGTAAAAAACCAAAACCTTGCTTTGGTCTCTGATTAACGTATTTCTTGGATATGTGGCCATAAGGAATAACATTATCTTGTGTGCTGTAGAAAGACTGGTATGTTTCTGAACCTTTTAGTGCTCTTGTCTTAAATAAATAAAATATGATAAATCAAAAGACCATAATGTTCTTCAAAATGTTAGCTATTTAAATATTTCATTTGGATGATGGTGTTAATTTTGTGTAGTCCTTTATAGTTGTTGTTGCTTGAACAAAATGAGTAAGCATTCTATACGAAGAGTGACAAAATAATCTCTACGCACAAGAAATTTTTTAAAACTACCACTAGTAGAATGTAAGTACATTTACCCAAGTAGTTGTACTTCTACTTGAGTATGTTCAATTTGACTGTTTCCCAATTCAGAGGGAAAAATTACACTTTCTAGCCTCTGAATATTTCCTCCACCACTGGAAAGTACATACCAAAAAGAAAATGTTATGTAAGTAAGGGGCCAGATGGGGGTAGTATTTCCTTCTCTACACAAGACACACACCATTTGAAGTTCAGGGATATTATTCCTCCATAAACATGCACATTTATCTGTACTTTGGTATCTCTGTTCTTAATATCTTTAACCAGGATCCCGAACCAGTGAACAATTAAGAAGTTAGTTTTTTGAACAGTTCTGTCCTGGGTTTTATTGTCAATTGAGTTTTTTTTTTTCTTTGTGCTTCATTGGTGACAAACTGAATTCCTACATTGGTTTCACTATGTATTTTAAATCAGATTACGTTTATCAAATAAAACTCTGCACACTGTGTGTATGGAAGAGGAAGTATAGAAAGTCCCTGTATTGAGAATTAAATCCTGAACTCTGCAGCAGACCTATGACAAGCTATACTAATGGAGATAAGCGCTCATGGGTCAGAGGATAAGGGTGGGGGATGGGTTGCAGGATTTACTGTTGGGAGAGTTATTCTATAGTGATACTGCTGGTTTGGCATCTGGGACAGTGTAGAAGAAAGATGCTACAGGAATAATTGAAAGGTATTATGAGATGAATATCTCCACCCACGGTCCCCGCCCCCAGGGAGGAATAATACCAGTCAAGGCACTCTGCTGATGAGGAGATCACTGTCCTGGGATGACGACTGGAATATACTGTATGTAGCAAGTTAGGACAGCACGATGATTTTTCATCTTTGAACAGGGAATGATTCCTGCAGCTGCCAAAGACGGCTTGAATTTAATTTCCTGAAGGAGGTCCTTCCCATGTATCAGAAGTCCTTTTCATGAAATCTGGCGATATCATGTAATGTGCAGGATTTGTTACTCAAACCTGAAACTTGGGATCCTAAATAACCAAGATGTTTTAATTGGATACAGATGTTTTGTGCCTTTGGCACTCCAAAGCAATGGCTTTGAATGATCCAGAATTGCGTGGGGAGATATCCCCAGGACTAAAAGGCCAGAATGTGTTTTCTTTCCGGGGACCTCTGGGCTTCTACTGAATATTTTGATATCGGCTTCGACAAACCTTCAGCCACTATTGGCACCATGCCTTACCATGACGAGGAGTACCCAGGTCAGCCTCTGTGGCAGTCTGTGCTGCTCTTCTGCTGTAAGGGAATGATTGAGGGCATTATGGTCATCCTCTTCTTCTGGCTTCTGGTGCAGGTTCTTTTCACCAAACAACTTGAAGGTAGGATCTTAAAGGATACAGTAGGTTCACAATTTTTTCAAATCTGAAACAACTACCTACTCACTTGCCGATGTTTACTTCTTGCGATCATTGAGTAATCACTCCACCTGTCCATACCGGCTGTGAAGAGAGCTCTTCCTAACATGATTCCAATGTAATTGACGGGGTCAAAATCCACAGTCCTTGTTCTCTGCAAAAATGCATGAAACCGAAGATAATATCATCAGTAAAACCATGTGGGTGTCTTCCAATATCACTGTGGTTACTGTGTTTTAGGAAAATATTACCTCTTTGTGTTACTTTCCCTCCTTCTAAGAAAGAAACTGTCCGGGGGGAATAAAGAAGGTGAAATATGCAATAAAAAGATGTAATATCTTGTCATGATTTATAATGCATTTCTACAGAGATCAAAGATCTGGATTTTCATTCATTTCTTTCATTGGAATCACATTAGTAGGAGACAGGAATTATTACCTCGACCAACATTTTTTTCAAAGTACATATAGGAATGTGTATTATTATTTTAAGGTAGACTAAAGAATAAGTGAACCAATCTTTTAACACTACTTTAATATGAAGCATGGGATCTATGCTTTCTGGTAAATGGGGTAAAATAGCACCCTTAAGCTAACGATACACGGAGCAACTTTTAGAGCAATGGTGCTGGGCAATGTTCAATGGTAATGAGTAAAGATCACTACCGTAATCCTCTTCCCCCATCACTCTGCCACCCTCCCCGCACCACCGCTATCCGTTCAAAACATTGTCGAACTTGCCACCAGCAACATTGCCCAGCAACATTGCTCAAAAAGTTGCCCCGTGTATCATCAGCTTTAGAGTGTTATGTAATCCAGTGGTTGCACTAGGGTAAATTGCAACAGTTTCTGAACTGTTGCTATCTGTTTGATCTTATTTTTCTCTCATATGTTTACAGTTCACCTCCAAATTCTTCTTTTGGTTGGGCTGATAATCTTTTGTCTGTCTTTGGTCCTGGGATGTATTTTGTGCTGGAGGAACAGTCAGATGTGTCCAGTGAAAGACCAAGATCCTGTGACATCAGCTCCAGCTGAAAGTGTGACTTCTGCCCAGAGCCCGCCTCCCTCAGCAACGACAGCATCCAGGCAGCAATATGAGGGGCTGGATGCAGATACACTGGAGTACCCCTCCACTTTCACCAGCCCTGCCCCTTCGGAGAGTGAATTTACCTCTCTGCCATTCTGCACAGCTGCCTCTGAGCAGAAGGAGCAGCCAAAGCCTTATTTTTCCTTGCGTCGCTTCAGCACCCCACTTACATCACACACATTTATAAACCCATAGATCCTCCTTCCCTGCCTTCATTTCCCAAATTGGGACTGTTGTCCAAAACATGTAAGGCTCTGCAGAGGCGCTGCACGGTGACTGGGGGTAATATATCTTACAATGAACACAGCAGGCTCACCAGTGCTTTCTCCCCTTCTATGCTTGAAGAACCAATCCCACTGGCTCCACTGAGCTATGGCTCCAGTGCCAGCTGCCAACAGCCAATATCACAAAACCCATGCATCCATTTTACTATGGTCTTCTCTCCAGAACAGCAAACCTTGGCAGTCACTGTCCTCAGCCTCACTGGGACGCCCCACAGACTGGAGGACGTGTTTGTGCTAGGCAGCCTGCCACCTCTTTACCCCTGCCCTATAGAAGCCTCTGCCCAGAGCAGCCTCAGCCCTGAGACCCACAGCCTGGTGCTGCTTTTGAAGGTGAGCTCCGTGAAGGAGCTCCAAAGGTGTGTACTGAGAATAATCGTATACACACGGGAACCTCCCAGCCTGAGAGGCACCACACTGGGTGAACTGGATGCTGAATGTGGAGGAAGAGACTGGAGAGCAGAGCATCCATTTCACTTCACGAAAGAACTTAACCCAAGCAAGTGGAAGCTAAAAAAGGTAGCAGTGTAGTGAATTAATATCTGTGAGCAGGTGTTGACTTTAGTTTTAAGATACTGTACATAGAGGTCTGGCCAGATTAACCTGTTAGGAGGCCCTGGGGCTGTTGCTGTTCCCCTTTTGAACACTTATAGGACTTTAGCTCAAGCTTAAATCACAGACTGCAGTTTCCAGGTTAAGAATGAACAGGTTGAAATGACCTGCTGAAACAAGCAAACGGAGGAAGAGCTGGAACAAAAGTCAGTATTTTGTTTTATATGGGATATTTTGTGTATTGTATTATAGTACAATTAAACTTTTTTTAGTATTTTATGTGTTTTTTGTATTCTACAAAGCAAAGCCTCATGCAGCCTCATACCTTCTGATTGAGGTATTCTTCTCTGCTCTTTGAACTTTTGCCCTTTGACTGCAGAGCCTGATCTTACAGGATACACCGATGTGTAAGGGGCTTAGCTGTCCTCCCCAGATCTTCATTTGGCTTCAGTATCAGACTCTGGCACACCGCATCAAAGCCATGGTCCTACGAGCAGAAAACCTAGACAACCTCGTTCACACATTGGCAGCAACAGGTAAAACCAGCGTTTAATATCACTTGAAATAACAAAATGTGTGTTCGATTTAGAGATCCCGTAAGGACATCATCATAAAGGCATTATGTAAGTGTGCGAGGGAAGAACTAACTTTTGCCTTTGAGGGGCAGAGGTAAAGTAATTCCCTATGTTTGCTTTTAATGTTTAGGGGATTATATGATGTCTTACAGGACCCAAATGCAGCAGGAGATCATCCCTTTTTTTAATGACATTGTGGTTTAATCCTTCACTATTCACAATCCTCAGGAAAATGTTCCAATCTCCTCTGGATCTCTGATCCGACAAATCTAATCTTTGTTTGCATTAGCCTGTCTAAGTATTATTTTTATTGCAGACAAGCACCTCCTGTACACAGAGCCATTTGATGTTAAAATATCTGTTTCATTTACATGAACGTCACGCACATTTGACGAGGATAATCCCTTTATGTTTTATATCAGACTACTGAAAGTATTTGTTGGTGAATATTTAGACAACAGAGTAGACACAACTGCATTACTATGGATGAAGACGGTATATGTGTATTACATATAACAATATTTATTTTAGCTCCATATTTACTGGTGTGAGAATGGTAAAAATTCTTGGTTTGATTTTATTTAAAAAATTTTATCCATTTTTGTAACTGGACAGTGGGCATGAATGTTCTTGTGTGATGTGATTTCCACCTTTTGGCAAGTGTGTTATGTAAATAACAGAAAATCTCTCTAGTAGAGAGACCAGTGAATTATAAAATGGATGCTTGTCTGCAGTATTCTTTTTTATTTATTTGGGTGCCCATTGGCGTCCACGAAGTGATCACTAGACTTTCTGGGGGTCCATACAAAAACAGTAACAGTAAAACAAACAACAATGTAAAATCACACAGTATAAATAAAACAAGAAAAGGCAAAACAAGCTGAACATAAAGATTAGAAAATAAGTTAAATTGCTTCACATATGAAGCAAAAGACAAAAGTAGCCCACAATGGAAACAAAAAAGAATTGTCACAAATGCATAGTAACAAAAATAAATAAAATAATCTAAGAGTAATATAGTAATAGTAATAGTAAACTAATCACAAAGGTTCCAATACAGCAATATTCAC